CCTTCGAGGAAATGAAAACCAGCAATTGTTCACACGGAAATGCTTTAGTCATCCTGAAGTTTTTCAAAAGGCTTATTACATAAAGCAGACTAATTCAGATAATCTTAGGAATTTCTAGCCTAAAACACCAAAATCATGAACTTCAAGAGGTAACAATACCATTTACTAAGACAGACTTCTCTCTAAAGGATCCTCTCCGTCCATCCTATGAGTTAGTTTGAGTAACAAAGACTTTTTTCGAGTAAGTTCTAGACCTTCCGTGATAAACAGCTACCACCAGGAATTCCTCCTTTGAAGTCTTTCCTCCCACCATCAGTCAATTCTATAATCAACCATCAAATGTACAAAGAAACGTGATGCACTAACAAGTCAATGTCGCCAAGTATGTATCATGCACCAGACACAGCAATGGACCAGACGCCGCCCTCCTCCACCCTCCCAATGTCCCTTTAAGCAGATATCATCATCACCCTTTTTCAATAGTTGAGTTCTAAGAAGCTCAGAGAGGTAAAGTTGCTGAACCAAAGTTGTAAAGCTATTAATGTGGGAGAGGAAGGCCTCACACCCAGGCTTCATTCCAAAGCCCAACCTCTTATAACCAGTTCGTGAATTTTCCTCTCAACTGGTATGAAAAGCTGGATTCTTTTGACATGTCCATCTACAGAGACTTTTTTGGAGGACTCGTGTGTTGAACTGTTTCAGAACTGGGTGCCCTTGAGCTGGTTCCAGCTAGGGCTTTGAACCGGTTTCGTCCAATCCCTTGCTGAGAATTTGCTGTTCTTCCCAGATATGCTGAATCGGAATGTGCATTTTAACAAGCTCCTCAAGGGTATTCTTACAAGAATGGGGGAGGGGGCGGGGGGGGCGGGGATCTTGTTAAAATGCAGATTCCGGTTCAGTATACCTGGGATGGAAAGGCAAATTGTCAGCAGGGGGCGAACCAGAATGAACCAGTTCCAAACCCTGCTTCTGACTCACAGTGACCCTACCTGACAAAGTACAACCATCCCACTGGCTGTAATCTTTAAGGAAGCAGATCACCTGGTCTTTCACCTGCAGTGAAAGGGACTGGGTGGGTTTGAACCCCCAATCTTTTGGTTAGCAATGGAGTCTTCAATCGCTGGAGCACCAGGCTTCCCTTTACTTATGTAACAGTTTCTTTTTATCATTATTTTTATAAACTACACTGTTAGATAAGTGACACAGCCCACAGGGGACACAGAGGGCTGAGGACTCTAAATTTCAAAAGAACTGCATGAACACTCAGCACATTGCTATCAGGAAGCTGTAGGGACATGGTAACTTCAACGCTGATCAGCTACAAAGCGTGCGACACACCTCCCGCTCCTGCTGAAATGAACATACTTGGTTAATCAAGTACCACCAACAATGAGCAATTACACCGATCCCAGGCTCAATGCAACCTCAAGCCCTATAGCCATAAATCCTGAGATCGTGTGTCTGGAAAGGCTGTTAAAAGTTCATTTTTACTTCTCAGAAGCTGTTAAAACAAACACCTAATTCACACTTCAGCAAGCACTTCCTTTGCTTTAGAAATATTCTGCAAGGCACAAGTCTGTTCTGTTGAATCTAAAATGAGAGCCCCGGTTCCCGAGCTGGCGTTTCATCAGTTGCTGAGTCCACTGGCTTCATGCAGACTTCCGTGAGGTCCTTTATCTGAAGCTGCTAAAAGCTTCCTCTGTGCTCCGTGACCTAATATGCCGCAGAACAACACAAGTGGATTTCCTTGCCTCACCACTATCCTAACATTGATGAGAAACGGGACTTATGGGGAAGCCTTTGGACACAAGATCGGCCTTCACTGGGAGCCCAGTTGATGCTGTGGATCCCGATGATGTGAAGGGCACGCAAGTGCTTCCTCAGAGAGCGAGCCGGTAACTATGACCCAGAGAAAGGATTTCGTCACTGCAATCTCAGTTTGCTCATTTCACTGTGTGTGGAAACACTGGACTTTCTCCCTTTACATAAGCTTCCTCCTGTGGACCAACAGGCACTGTCTCATAAAGATACAGTCCCAAACTACAGTCCTTGCAGATACAGAGACCAAAGGGAGAGAGGCTCCCGGGCAGGGCGGCGGGCCTGCAGCTTGCGTGCCTGAGGGCAAGTGCAATCCACATGTTTACATAATTGTATTATGACCAGTGAGTAAATACCATTTTAAAATTCCAAATCTAGACAGGATTTTGGATGCTAAAGACCGATAAATAACCTTCAAGTTAAGAGTTGAACGTTAGTCTACCGCCTCATCTCTTTCCCCCACACAAAGGGGCTGGCAAAGCACAGAAGTCAAGTCTTTTTGTCCCAACTTATTTTTGATAAACCAGGCTTCCTCCAAGGCACTGCTGACCAGTTTGAATTTTAAGCAGAAAGAATGAGGGGAAGGAGGAGAAAAGACCCTAAGCAATGTATCTATCCTTATCTGAAAATGCCTACCACCACCTCCATCCAGTCAATTCCGACTCGCAGCAACCCTGCATGATGAGCAGAACTAGATCATAGAGTCTCCAAGGCTGTAAATCTGTATGGAAGCCAACTGCCTCAACTTTCTCCCGCGGAGCACCTGGTGGGTGCAAAACACTGACCTTTCAGTTGGCAGCCCAATGCTTTAACCGCAGCACCACCAGAGCTCCTCACACCTCATCTGAAAATGGAGTACAGACCTCTAGATATCAAACGGGAGCTCCCTCATCAAGATTAGTGGAAAGGTTTTTCATTCTTCTAGATCCAGTGTATCTTGATCAAGAATTCAGCTCAGCTACCAGGATTAATAATCTCTTTCGGATGGAAAAACAAACCTCTGAATCTATGTCAACCATGTACTTTCTCCACAGAATTTAACCCCAGGTACCTGTCATTCCAGAGTCCCTGGGTGATGCAATCCCTTATCGTGATTTGCTGCTAACCAAAAGGTTGGAGGGTCATGTCCGCCCGTGGTACTTTGGAAGAAAGGCCTGGTGATCTATGTCCAAAAAAAACCAGCCACTGAAAACACTACGGGGCATGGTTCTACTTGAGCCACAAGGCTACTCTGAGTCAGAATTAACTCGACAGCCACTGGAACTGGTACCTGTCATCCACTTGCCTCATGTCTAACCATATACCCTCCAAGCATCAGAATGGATACCCCAGTTGCTATAAATTACCAACTATTTCTTTGTGCTTTATCTGTGTCAAGATTTGTTATCTCTACCTATGGATTAATTTTTCTAAGTGCTTTATTCTACAGCACCCCAACAAAATTTAGGCTTTTTTATTTTTTATAATTCATGCTTATAAAATAGCAAAAGAATGGAATATAGAACATGTGGGAGGTTTATAGGCAGATACATTTCCATAGGTTCCCACAAAAAATCTGTTTTCTAGAATATCCCCCCCACAAAAAAAAACCAACCTCACTGCCGTCAAGTCAGATCTGACTCATAGCAACCCCTCCTTGGGTTTCTGAGGCGGCATCTCTACGGAAGTAGACGGGTTTGAACCACTAGCCTTCTGGTTAGCAGTCAAATGCCTTAGGCACTAATTCAAATACAAGCAAAGTTATATGGCAACTTCTTGAACACTCACACTAGTCCACCCTAGGACCAATTTTCAAGTCTATCATCTTGCCATATTGTCTTTCCAGGTACTTTCTGCAATTTTTACCTTGACTACCTACTCACTTCTAACAACATTCACCCGTCCTACCTATCAGATTAGAAAACAGAGTTTATCTGCAAATATTTGATCTAAGGCAGTGGCAGCAATTTGCTACATTACCTGGTACAATGATAATACTGAATACTCAACCAAGGGTACACAATGACACACCTGGAGTGGCTTTGAGCAACAGCAACTAGTACGGCTTTTCACTGTATCACTGTCATCTGAAAAAAATGGCATTAGTGAAGACAGTACTTCTACATTCTGTACCCCATTAGCATCATTCCAAAGTAACTCTTGACCTCAAGAGTATCCCCAACCAGTTACAAGGCCTGACTTGGTAAGCAGAAAAACCACACAACCAAGGAAATCTGAAGATCCAAGTTCTGGTTGGGGTTCTTCCTACAATATAGCTGTGTCACCTTCGGCAGGGCACGTGGCTCCCAGGGCCTAAGTTATCGTCAACTGCAAAACCAAGAAACTGGACTAATTATTCTTTAAGGTCTCTTCCAACTAAAAATTTCTCTGAATCCATGAAGTCTCCATCTATTCCCATGTCAAAGATAAGGAGCAAGTGGTAAATTAGCCTAATTTTTGGCTTGGATGCTTTCTTGGGTGAGTGTTTTACTTAGGAAAACAAACCCTATGTGAAATCCAGGTTAAGAAAATGGGCAAAGGGAAACACACACACACACACACTGACAGCTAAAATAGGAACTTGATCACCCTTAGGCCAGTCTGTCAATAGTTACTCAAAGGACGCCTCTCTAATCACTGGCTTCTTAAAAGAGAAATATTTATCATCCAGTTGTTTCCTTCTCATCCCCAGAGATTTCATGTCGGATGAAAAGCAAAGCGTCTAAAATCAATTTGCAACTTCAGAACAAGTTGCAAGGAGCGATAGGAACTCCGCACGGCTCTCCAAGGCATTAGTATGTTAAGTATGACTGCGACCAAGAAACGGTTCTTATTATGAGACGTGAGAAACGCACGGAAAGCAGGTGACATCTGGAGAGGGAGGCAGGGCTGCCAGGAAGGGCGACGGAGGCCGAGGACCTCAGGCAACAGGTCCAGCGCCGGTACTGCAGCCTCCCCCACAAGGGGTCGGTCGTGCCACCCGCCCGCCGCCCTCCGTGGCCCCGATGGCATCTCCTCGCCCCCGCTTCGGCCCTCGAGCGGCAGCCCGCCCCCACCCCACGCCCCTGCGGCAGAAACCTCCCTCATCATTCGCTTCCCCGGCCTCCCGCCCCCTCCAGGCCCTCCGAACGTCGGCTCCCAGGCCGCCCCAGTTCCCCGCCGCCCCCGTCGCAGCTGCCCGCAGCCCCGGCCCCGCCGCGCGCCGGCTCACCTGCACCTGTTTGCGGAAGTGGCGCGGCCCCGGCGCTGCCGGTGGCCAAAAGCAGCAGCAGCAGCAGCAACGCCGGCGGCCCCGGCATCTCGGCCGCGGCGCGGCCCCGGAGCCGGCTCTAGGGTCGTCCGTCTGTCCGTTTGTCGGCCCGCCAGGCAATTGGTCCTGCCTCCCTCAGCCGTCTCAAAGGCACTCGAGCCGGCTACTCCTGAGCCCACGCTGCTTCGGCCCCACCTCAGTCCGGCTTCTGGTCCGCACCTGACACTCCGGCCACAGAAACACCATCCTTCCCGCCCGCCCGCCTGCGCCGCCACCGCTGCCCTCTCAACAGCAGCAACGGCAGCCCTGCGGAGCCGCGGGCCCGGGCAGCCGCGCTTCCGCCGCCATGATGGGCTGCGTCATGTGACGTAGAGCGGGGGCGGGACGCCTTGAGAAACGGTGCCACCGGCCAATCGTCTGTTCCACAGCGACGCGGGAAACTCCGCCCATCTCCCTGGCGGAGTGAGGGACGGCCGCCAGGGCGCCCCCTGCAGACCGAGAAGTGCGTGGCCAGCAGGTAATAATTAAATTATTTTACATTTAAAAAGGCTGAAAAGTACAAAGAAGACGATAGAAATAACCCCTCATCCGTTCTGAATTTTTAGTAAGTATTTTATGGCATGCAAAAATGGGGCTGTTTTCCTCTGCCTCTTTCACATGTCAGAGCCCTCTTAGGGTCTTCTGCTTACGTTGACGTACACATCCTCTCATTATTGGGCTTTTTATTTCAATTTCACAAGAATAGAATGCCTCTGCCCTCGTCACCCACTGATTCAGCTCCTTGGCTCTACCAGGAGTGCCCTTCCTGTCCTCTCTTGTCCACTTGGCAGACACCCTATCCTTTCATTTCTCAAGGCTCACCTGACTATGACTTCATTGAAGGCCCTTCCCCTGTCCCCAGGAAAAATGACTGGAGTTTCCTTTGTGTCTCTCCCCTGCCCTGTAGACAGTGCAGTCTCAGCTGTCATGTTTCCTTGTTCCTGTAAACTGTAAGCTCCCGGAAGGCAGGAATCGTGTCTGATTCAACTGGGGACCTGTGGAGATTGGCATAGGGCCTGGCACAGAGTCGTTGCTGGGTGCTTCTGAGTCAACTGCTGCTCACAGCCACCCTACAGGACAGAGTAGAACTGCCCCATAGGGTCACCTAGGCTGTAATCTTTACGGGAGGAGATTGTCAGGTTTTTCTCCTGTGGCACCACTGGGTGGGTTCTAGCCACCAATCTTTCCATTTATAGCCAAGCACTCAAGCTTTGCTCAGTTTTAAAGAAAGAAAGCTTGGGCCTGGTCACCAGGGAGGTGCAGCTCCCAGGTGCCTCTCTCCACACCAAGAGGTGAGGAGAGAGGGGCCAGGAGTCTTGCGGTCTAAACAAGAGGAAAAGTTGGCAAGCTTTGTTATTTTTCACTCCACAGAACAAGGATTAAGGAATGCATTCCTCGGAGGTCTCTGATGGAAGCCATTATCCCCCAATACTCACACATACACACACCCTTCACCACTCACAGCGTTGCCCACTGCTTCTCTTCAAGAGTTCCAGCAGGAAGTAATGTCATGGTCAGAGGGCTGGGGACTGGGACACTGGAGAAGCCCTTGTGGTCCAGTTTGTGTGCAAGAGAGAACTGGTTTGAATGTTCCAGACAGGACTCAACCAACTGGTAACAGGGGAACTTCCCCCAATTCTCCAGCCCCTCCAAATGCCCGTCCTAAAGGCCAGCTCTCCATGGTGGACCCACAAACAATGCCCAGGGAATATTTGAATACTATGTAATAATTTAATTATTTTACATTTAAAAATTAGGGCAAGCCAGTAAACACCTAAGTGGACAAATATCTGGAAGGCAAAACGCTGGGTTCTGGCATCCACAGCTTTCTGCTGAAAGCTGTATGGGCCAGGGAAGGGAGGCAAAGGTCTGAGAAAGACGATCAGCCTGTTTGCTTCTCCTTGTACCAGGAAGCTCTGGACTTGGAGTTTGAGGAAGCCAGGGAATGCCTGTCTGTGGACCAGGAGGAGACTGTTTACTGGCCCCAACAAACGCCCTGCTCATTATCGCTGTGGTTGTTAATCATAATTAAGGTGCACCCCAGCAACATGTCAGACCACAATCCCAAAACAGGTTTTGTTGTTATCCGAGCAGGAGCAAAAGTTGGAAAGCATTTTTTTTTTCCACTTCAGAGAACAGAAGTTAAGGTACGCATTCCTTGGAGGTATCCACGGAAACCTTTGACCCCAGCCCCACCCCACCTCACCACTCACACCATTGCCCAGCACTTCTCCTCAAGAGTTCCAGTTATAGAGTTTATAAAACAAACAGTAAACCTCTTTGCTTTGTTTCGTTTCACCTGTGAGTCAGAAAACAGCCCCTGGCATAATTTGGGATCCCATCCCCTAGACAAGAAGCATCTCCTTCAGTGTCTGCCAGCTTTTTGCACGTGTGCTTAGTCTAATCCAATGTTTCCTTCATGCCAAGGCCTTGCCTGGACCACCCCTCTGGCAGTATCTGTCCTGCCAGCCAGCTCTGGGTGAGGGTTGGATAAGAAAGGATCTGGAAGCATTTGAGTCCTGTGTGAGCAGGCACTTTGAGAGATGTGGCACCCAGCGGGCACATGAGAGATTTGCGAAAATGAGTTGGATCAAATGGGCGCTGGCGTATATCAACTTGTAGGAAAATCGGTCGTTAAATCTTCAGAAATTTTGCACGCCAGTTGTGAAACACAGCCATTGTTAAAAATAAAATCATGCAAACTTATAAGAAATAAATTAAAATAAATTACCCAACAAACAGTGGTAATGAGAAGTACTTCCAGAGTGGTGGAGTGAGGTCAATGAAAATCCACTCATCTGTGAGAGGCACAAGGAAAAAATGGTCAAAATTGACTAGTTTGGAAATCTGGCCTCTCTACCTGACGGCCGCCATGCCACCATGATCACCACCTACATGAAGCCCCTCAAGCTGGACAGAGTCACCAAGGTGCTAGGCAGGATCAGTTCACCGGGACAGCACATGGAGTTAGTGAACAACGTGAGCCCCTTGATCACCCACAACAGGAAAGGCCCTGTGCATGAAGGTGACATGCTCAGTCTGTAGGAGTCAGAAGGAGACTCAGAGGCTGTGGCGAGGCTGCTGCCGGGTCCTGGATGTCCATGGACGTGGTCTGCAACTGTTCAATAAAGCCTTCATGTGGCATGTTAAGGAGAAGACAAAGAAGAATTATTTAAATTAGCCAAAGGTTTGCAACAACACAAGGAGCATTTATGCAAGAAAAATGGCTTGATCTCAGTAAGAACAGCAGGCCCTAGTCTCATTCTTGTCCCCCATATCCGTGGAAGACTTCAAAACCAGCAGCCTCACAGCCAAGGTAGCTATAAAACAAGCAGCCTAGTAACCACTACAAGGGGCAGAACGGATTTGGAGCTCCACCCTCCCACCCCCGTTCCCAGAGAATCGTCACTATTTTGACCTGGCTGTCAGACCCCTAGAAACGTAGCATTCTCAGAGCTACTCTTTGTGTGACCCAACTCAGTGCTTCCTCAGTGTAAATAGCCCAGTTTTGTAAAAAAATATTGTTTTGAGTGTTTGCCAGTCAATTCTGACTCATAGTGATCCCAAAAGACAGAATAGAACTGCATCATAAGGTTTTCTTGGCTATAATCTTTACAGACGTAGATCATCATGTGTTTTTCTCACAGAGCGGCTGGATGGGTTTGAACTGTGAACCTTTCAGTCAGCAGCCAAGTACTTAATCATTTGTACCACCAAAACTAAACCAAACCAAACTCACTGACATCAAGTCAATTACAATTCATAGCCACCCCTTTGGGTTTCTGAGGCTGTAAATCTTTACTGGAGTAGACTGCCTCATCCTCCTCCCACAGAGCAGCTAGTAGGTTTGAACGGCTGACCTTCTGGTTAGTGGCCAAATGCCTTACCCACCACACCACCAGAGCTCTTTAGATATAGTCTAGTATACATTAATTTCCTTATTGCTGTTTTAGCAATAAAAAAAAAAAAAAATTATTGGCAGTTGTCCTGGGGATTTCAATGAATAGCTTAAAACAATCTAGTTCAGATTAACATCAGCTTAATTTCCTCTTCTTTTTTTGGCTAATATCATACAAATCTTTTCTATATATATTATAAGCTCATCAATACAGTTTTATAATGGTTCTTCACGTAGCTGTCTTTTAAATAAGAAAAAGTTACAAATCAAAATACATTTATACTGTCTATTACATTTCACTAAGGAGCTCCAGTGTAATGGGTTGGGCATGTGGCTGCTAACCAGAACGTCAGTGGTTCAAACCCACAAGCTGCTCCATGAGAGACAGATGAGGCAGTCTACTTCCATAAAGGTTTACAGCCTTGGAAACTCAGTGGGGTCACTGTGAGTCGGGATTGACTCGGCAGCAGTGGGTTTGGTTTGGGGTATTGTGTTTAGCTATGTAGTTCTTCTCCTGGTGCACCTTTCTCCATGTGGATTTGAGTTGCTGTCTACTGACCTTTCATTTCAGCCTGAAGGACTCCCTTTAGTATTTCTCGTGGGTGTTGTGTCTGCTAGCAATGAATTTGCTCTGTTTTCTTTTAATCTGGCAATGTCTTCATTTAGCCTTCCTTCGTTTGAAGGATATGCAATGGTTTCTTTCTTTAGCACTTTGACTATGCCATCGACTCAATGGCAGTGGGTTTTTTTTAAAGACTATTTAATGAAAAAGAAGTCAGTAATGGAGGTATAAACGTAAAGAAACAAACTCACTGCCACCATTCTGACTTTTAGCAACCCCCATTGAGTTTCCAAGGCTGTAAATCCCCCACTTTTTTTTTTTAAATTTTGTTGTGATTTGGGTGAAAGTTCACAGAGCAAATTCATCTTCCATACAGCAGTTCACATACTTTCTCTCATGACATTGACTGCAGTCTCTCACAGTACAACAGCTCCCCTCCCACTTCCTCCCCATAGCCACCTCTTCCCTGTATCTATCCCTCCATGCACTCCTGCCCCCTGAGCTGTCTCCCTGTGCATACACAGTCCTTCTGTTCTCCCACAATTGATCTCTCCAAGGAGTGTATCTACCTAATGTAAATGTTCAGCTCATATGCCTGTCTTTTGGC